TATATATATATGCTCTTAACTTTTTTAAAGATAATTGACTATACTTTAAAAAATCTTCCTGGATGTATTAGTGATGTAAAAAAAAAAATCATTTTAGAAAGAAAAACTAATAACTCTCTAGAAGTTACAACAGCTATTCTAGAAGATAAGAGAACTAGAGGAAGATTACATTTGAAAAAAGATGGCTTAATAGACTAGATGATGAAAATAGTGAAATTAAAGTGAAAATAGTGAAATTAAAGTGAAAATTGCCCTTTTGAATCATAGGAATGTCTCTGTTGCTATGAGTCAGAATCTACTTGATGGCAGTAGGTTTGAGGTTTATTGTTTTGTGTTTTTTTTTTATTTCCTGTGTAAATACCATAAATTAAAAAAGAACAGTTATTTACAAAAGTACATGGGAATATTCCTGTTTACTCTAGCATGTTTCTACCATTTTTAAGTGGCCTGTTGTTAAGTGTTGACCTTTTTAGGGTTTCTAAGAAGCTGCTGGTGCGTTTGAACCACTGACCTTGCAGTTAGTAGGCCAGTGCATATCCTACAGCAAATTTTATGATTGGCAAAATGCTTTCAAGTAATAGATAAGTTTAGCCTGTGAGAAGTAGTGCATTCTTACGCAGAGAACACTGGTGCAAAAGCAGGAGCTTGGCCTCTCCATTCTTGATGCAGTCCTGCTTTGTAAGGCTAGGCAGATTTCTTAATCTCCCTGGGCCTCTGTTTTAAATCGATAAAATAAAAGCACTGAAGTAAACGATATTTATGGTGTATTTCCATTCCAGAATCTCCTATGCCCTTTTAACTAGCATTAAGGAAAGAAATTCCACATAGTTGTCAGTTGACAGTAAGTAAGAAAGACATTGACAGATAGGGGTGGCTGTAATTCAGTTGTGCCTTGATACCTTTGAATATTTGGTCAAAATTAAACCAAATGTGGCTCGTTAAAGTAGGGCATAGTGAAATATAACTAAGAAAATCAAAACATAACTTTTTAAAAAAACATTAGTGACATATCTTCAAAAATGTAAGAATTCCCAACTGTATGATGCACAATAAGTAAAGGTGCCAGCTTAAGGAAAAAACAGCATGTAAAAATCATGAGTTAAATACATTACTTTAATCATTAAACCATCCTCTCTGACATGAATTTACTTTCTAACATTTACCATTTGTCTTGATTTAGGAAAGGGGGCATCAAAAAAACAAGCCAAGAGAAATGCTGCTGAGAAATGCCTTGCCAAATTCAGTAATATTTCTCCGGACAACCACGCTTCTTTAGTGAGTAAGGCTCAGACAGTTACGGTGTGGATGTTATTAAGCATCTTTGAAACTTTCCTGGCTTGGAAACTTTTTCAGAGTTGCAGTCTTTAAAGATTTCTTTATTGTCCAGTTATATACTACTACAATTTTATCTGACTCCTGAATGTCAGTCTGGGTCATGGGTGACCAGGTAACAGGGGTTGGGGGGGATAAAAATTCAGAATAAGATCTAAAAATAATAGGTCAATATTGCCATCTTTGTTTTCAAAGTGACAGTGCATTCTAAGAGGAGGTCTCCCTTTGATAAGAATTGACATCCCTGCCACTCATTTGAATGGTGATACCTGTTTGTTCTTTTCAAACACAACTTGTACATTTCACTTTTTCTATATTTTCTTTGCTTTGGCATTTAATGCAAGAAACAATTAAGATATCAAAGTTGTTTTATAATTTTATTTATAAATTTCTCAGTTGTTAAGTGCTGCCGTGGAATTGGTTTAGACTCATAGCGACCCTGTAGAGGGTTTCCGAGACTGTGAATCTTTACAGGAGTAGAAAGCCTTATCTTTCTCTTGTGGAGCAGCTGATGGCACGAATCTCAGACCAGTGCTTATCCTACAAAGCCAAATCCACTCACAATTAGACCAAGGTGGTCATCAGCAAGCATATGGCTTTCAGTCTTGGAAGGGAGTTTTCTCTGATGAATTGGCTTTCCTAGCCTGGTACTGCTGAAACTCAGAATGCCAGATTGTCTGCTTTTTTATTCTACTTTCTTTCAATCTTGAATCTCCTGTACCCACTGCAGTTCAGGTTGGTCTGCATGTCTTTTCAAATGCAAATTTACCAACTCTGAAGATTCTCAGTGGGGTTCAGGATTCCACCTAAGTCCCCTTACTCTACAGAGGCTTAAAGCAAGAAGCCTATATTTTTTCTGGGAAAATTCTAACTCCCCTTTTAGCAAGTCTAATCAAGTATAAGCTGAATTTGCTCAATTAGACGAATTAAATTAATTTTCAGATTTGCTTATGGTGATTTTAAATATCTTGTACCTCTATGTAACCATAAAAAATTTGAGACACTTTTGTATTATATGAAAGTATTATTAAATACTTCCAATATATTATTGCCAGTGCTTCATTTAAAAAAAAAAAAAGTGGTATTTGTTAAATGTGTATCCTTGTTAATTTTGCTTGGTTTAAATTGGAAAGTTAACCAAATGGTTATCATTTAGACAAGCTTTACAAAGTATTTATGTGAGTGTTTAGTAAGTACTTTTAATTATAATAATGCTGAAGCCCAATGCTAGTTTAAGAGTATAAATCTTCATTTGTGTTTTTCAGGCAAATTTAGGACATTCTTTAGGATGTACATTGCATTCATTGAGGAATTCTCCTGGTGAAAAGATCAACTTACTGAAAAAAAGCCTTCTCAATATTCCAAACATGGATTATATCCAGCAGCTTGGTGAAATTGCCAAGGAACAAGGTTTTAATATAGCGTATTTGGATATAGGTATGCTTTTTTCTCTTGAGTTACCTTAAGAAATACCACTTTTTAAAACATGTTTTAGAATCAAAGTTTTCTATTCTAATTGATTTCTTCAATCACGAACTTTAACTGTATATTCACCAGAGCAATAATGTAGATGATTGATAATGTCACATTCCTGTAAGTAATAATAATAGCATTTATACCATTATAACAACAAAAACAACAGGAACTAAGATTGATAGGATTTTAGTTTGTGCCGGCCCTGTTCTAAGGATCTTCATTATATCTAGTTGCTGAGTCTTCAAACTAACCCTATTAAGTAGAGACATAGGCTTTCCCTGTGTAACCAGCAGGAGCCTTTGGAAGCTATGTATAGGCACTGGCATAATTCCATTAGTAGGGCACAGTACGTAGAAAGGTTGGGCCTAGTTGAGGGGAAGAACTGGGTCAGAGAAGAGCTGACTTTCAGATTTGGATACACAGTAGATGACACTTGCTGTCCTTACTTAGAAGTGAAGAGAGTGAGGTAGAGAAAGGTTGGGAAACTTGCCCAAGATCACATAGCTAGCCAGTGTGGTAGTTATGGTAGAGTTAGATTAGAGGACATTTCCAACTGATACATTGTGAAATTAGCCCTGTTGCACATCTTGGCAAATAAAAAACATTCTAAAATAAATACCAAGTTTATAAAAGCCATCACTGTGTGCCAATTCTGGTAGAATGAAAACGCAGGTAAGTTAATGTATAGCTTTTTCTCATGTCAGCTATCATCTGCCACTTTCTATCATTTCTCTTGCTGTTAATCATTTGGAGTCCTGGTGTGACCCTATAGAATAGGCACTGGACTGCTAACCACAAGGCTGGCAGTTTAAACCGCTCCTTAGAAACCCTATACAGGATCTGAATGAATTGGAACTGATGCTTAACAGTTACTCATTTAGATAGACCAGTAATGGAGACGTTGAAAATTCAGTCAGTTTGGATTTTATTTTGTTTATAAAGCTGGTTAATTGGCTTGTTTTGTTTACTTTTTATTGTTATTGTTTTAGTGGCTTGATTTACCATCAGTAAAAAACTTGATACCCAATTTTTTCAATCCCAATGAGATGTGTGGACCTAACTTGTCAGACCTACTAGCACTGGGAGAAGTTTTATATTAAGTGGCTAAAATAATTTGTTTTTCTATTATTTGGGGATTGAATGTTCAATCAAGGGCTTTGTCTAAATATTCCAAGAATGATGCAGCACCTGAATATTTAGTGCACATAGGTGGTCAGAAAAGATGACTGGTGGGAGACTGTTCATTCAGTACATAATTATTAAAGGTACACTTTGTTGGGAATCCGGGATACAGAGATGAGTGTACTATGAATCATGAATAGGACTATGAAAGATATTGAAGGTATGCTTTTTCATGGTAATAGAAGGAAAGAAGATTTTTTAGATTATAAAGTTAAAATGCTTTTTAAATGCTTCTTGCCAATTTTAAGAACTCAGTAATATATGTAAATATAGAGCAACAGTCCAAAAAACCACAGTCTGTTAATTTGGTAAAGAGGCAAGCTTCTTTGCTATAACCTTCAAAAGAACCTAGATGCTAGAACTATAGACCGCTTCACTTATTAAATTATCCCAAGTGTGTGTGGATTTTTTTCACCAAATTATCTCTATCTGAAATGATAATATTTAATCATAACCACCTTAAACAAACCATACCCTTCTTTCTTCTACTTTTTCCTCCTACCTCATTTCAACCATCCCGAGTAAGAGTAACCTATCAGTTGATTAGTAGAGCAGTTGTTACCTGGGTTCAGGTATTATGTTTTAAACATCCCAACTCCTTGAAAACCCTATACAGGGTTGCTATGGGTCAGAACCAACTCAACGGCACTTAAAAACAACAACAACCCATTTACAATATGAGGGCGCTTCAGAAAGTTTGTAGGAAAATGACATTATCTTTTAATTCCATTGTTCTGTGAACTTGATGAAGGCTCCTCATAGAAATAGATGTTGCACACTTAAAATCTAAGAACATGAAGATACAAGAGAGATCTTTTCCTGAACAGGTTATTTCCTGGTTCAAATGCCTACTGAAAACAACGCTAGATTTCATAGTGGACAGTATAGTCTCTCCACTCTTCTACCAAAGGTTTTTTCCCTTTTACGAAGCTTCCTATGGCTCAGTAATTTGCAAACACTTTCAACTAGCTACATTAGAACTGCCTTGAAATCTTTTTTATAAATGTTAAGATTATGGCTTCCTCTGACCCCTAACACCCTGTGTTTAGATTGTTATTGCTGTTGTTAAGTGCCATCAATTCAGTTCCGACTCATAGTGACCCTGTACAGGGTTTCTGAACTGCAAGGTCGGTGGCTCAAGCTCACCGGCTGCTCCTCAGAAACCCTATACAGGGTTACTATGGGTTGGAACCAATTCGATGGCGCTTACGAAAAACAACAAGTGATTATGAAGTGTAGCTGTTTGAGAACTACTGCTACAACTCGGTAGTTGTGCTTTGTTTTTGTTTTGTTTTCCCAAGCACGACAAAGCTGATGAGTAAGTGCAGTCATATTGTGTTTTGTATGTACAGTATTGTTGAGCAAGTGGGGAGAGTATTTGATGAATACTTACTGAGAAAGACAGTAATAAAAACTACATTATTTTCACAGAGGATCTGTTTATACCTGCTTGGCATTAACTATCATGTTTGCATGTTTCATTACAGAAGAACTGAGTGCCAGTGGACAGTATCAATGTCTGGCTGAACTGTCAACTAGTCCCATCACCGTTTGTTATGGCTCTGGGATTTCCAACGGCAATGCACAGAATGATGCAGCTCACAATGCTTTGCAGTATTTAAAGATAATGGCAGAAAGAAAGTAAACTTGGAGCAACTTAGAAAATCTTTCAGTAGCACATAAAAACCTACCTTTTATTCTCTTACTTTCCCTTCCCTTCCCTCCCCTCCACTTCCCTTCCTAAGTAGGATGTTTACTGTGATGTTTGAGTTTGTGTGTTGTTTCTAAATCTCCTCATAGATCCCATCAATGGGCCAGACTTACTTATATCTCATAGCAGTTGTTATTACGCTCTTTTTCATGGCTCCAACTTTGTATTGGTTTATTGTATTCATAAACTTTGTACCATAAGGCAGAGTGCAGCATCCGTTTCATAGTGCCCTGCACAGAGGAGGAAGAAAATGCATGCTTGTTTGTTTATTAATGATGGTGACAATGGTTAGACAACACTACTGCTAGCAACAGTCTTTCTTCCTGGTGCTTAAACTCTTTGTACAAGCTTTGTAAAGTTAATTCAAAGGAAGCCCTTGAGAATTAAAATGTGGAAGGACAGCACTAGCAGGATTTTATTTACTGAGTGTCTGAATCCATGTAATAAACAGCTGTTGTTACTGGGGTTCTGTGCACTTTACTAAAGAACTACTGACTTGGTTGTGGACCCTTTCTTTTTAGGCATTTTTGTACCTAACATAATTTGATATTCTCTTCTTAATTATGACTCTAGAGTCCTGGTGTGTTGCTGTTGGATAAGCACTGGGCTGCTAACCAAAAGGTCAGCAGTTCAAGCCTACCAGCAGCTCATTGGAAACCCTATACAGGGTCTCTATGAGTCAAAACCAACTCAGCAACACTTAATTACAACAACAGTTTTCACAGAGTACCGGTAACCCCAAGGTCAGCAGTTCAAACACACCAGCTGCTCTCAGAAATCCTATACAAAGTCTCTGTGAATCATAACTGACTCGACAACAAAAGCAACAAGTTTCTCACTGAAAGTTAAAGGTAAAAAAGTTATGTTTTAAATAAACTTTTACAAATATATTACATGATGAATTACTTTCTTATTTTCACAAGGAATGTATAGCAGTTTATTTTCTTTAAAGTAACCAAAGATCATTTCAAGGTTGAAAAAGCAGTTGTTGTTAAGTGCCGTTGAGTCGATTCTGACCCATAGCAACCATGTATAGGGTTTCCAAGGAGCAGCTAGTGAGCTTGAACCACTGACCTTGCAGCTCAGACGGCTTTGCAGTCTGACGCATTAACCCACAGCGCCATACCAGCAGAAGTTTTAAAAAAGCAGTCTTTAGAGTTCACCTAAGTTTAATTCTTAAAAAAAGTTCCAAACAAATCAATTAGTGTTTAAAAGTTTAGGAAATAAGTCTCATGAGCAAATTTTAATTTTACCTTTGATGTTTCCATTTACCACTTATAATACCTAAAGTTTTCCAGCTGTCAGTACCCATTCATTTACAGCCAGTCCCTACTCCTACATCCTCTTTAATGTTAGGAAATTTGCCCTCACTTTGAAACAACTGAATCAACTCCACTTGGAACAAAGTCTTCCTCACAATCACCTTCACTTGCTGCACATGCAACTTTTAAATCATTGAAAAGGCCTCAGGTTTTTTCTTGCCCTAAATCCATTGCCACGGAGTTGATTTTCTGACTTTACAGGACAGGGTAGAACTGCTCCCTGGCATTTCCAAGACTGAATCATATGGAAGCAGATAGCCTCAACTTTCTCCCAAGGAGCAGCTGGGAGATTTGAACCACAATGCAGTTAGCAGCCTAATGTTTAGCCTGTGCTACCAGGGCTGCTTTCGTGCATTAAAATAAAGCTAAATAAGAACTGTGTGCAACTGTTCCCACTTTCCTACAAGTTCTTAAAGGCACACTTAGGAAAGAATCTCATTGTCACCCCAGGGACTGCCTGTACTGGGGAAAGGTGTGCTACCTTTGTAGTTAGTTCCAACTAATAGCAAGTCATAACATAGGGTTTCCAAGGCTGGAAATCTTTATGGGAACAGGAAGCCTCATCTTTCTCCTGCAGAACTGCTGGTAGTTCAAACTGCTGACCTTGAGGTTAGTAGACCGACTTGTAACCACAACGCTACCAGAGCTCCTTATAGATTTACTAAGTATGGTGAAAGAAAATTACCCTCGTGCACACCTTTCCTGATTTTAAACCATTCAGTGTATCTTTATTCTGTTTGAACAACTGCCTCTTGGTCTATGTACAGGTTCCTCATGAGCACAATTAAGAATATTCAGTCTCCACAATGTTGTCCATAGCTTGCTGTGATCCACACAGTCATAAGCCTTTGTATAGTCAATAAAGCACAGGTAGACATCTTTCTAATATTCTCTGCTTTCAGCCAACATCCATCTGATGTCAGCAATGATGCCTTCATTTCACACCCTTCTCTGAGTCTGGCTTGAACCTCTGGAAGATCCTTATCAAAGTACTGTTGCAGCCATTTTAAAGTTATCTTTGGCAAAATTTTATTTGCATGTGATATTAATGATATTGTCTGATAATTTCCACATTCCATTGGATCACCTCTCTTTGGAATGAGCACAAATATGGATCTCTTGTAATCAATTGGCCAGGTAGCTGCCTTGCAGATTTCTTGGCATAGATGATTGAGTGCCTCCAGTGCTGCCTTAGATTGTTGAAAGACTTCAATTTGTATTCCATCAAATCCCAGACCCTTATTCTTTGCCAATGTCTCCAGTGTACCTTGGACTTCTTTCTTCATTTAATATCTTTGGCTCTTGATCATATGGTATATCTTGAAATGACTGAACAGCGACCATTTCTTTTTGTGACTCTGTATTCCTTCCATCTGCTTTTGATGCTTTCTGCATCATTCAATATTTTGTCCAGAGAATCCTTCAGTATTACAAGTCGAGGCATGGATTTTTTTCCTCACTTCTTTCAGCTTGAAAAATGCTGAGCATGTCCTTCCCTTTTGGTTTTCTTAATCCCATTCTTTGCACATTTCATTATAATCTTTGACTTTGTTTTCTCGAGCTGCCCTTTGAAATTTTCTGTTCAGTTCTGTTACCTTCTCATTTCTTCCATCTCTCTACACTGGAGAGCAAGTTTCAGAGTGACTTCTGACATCCATTTTGATCTTTTTTTTCTTGTATTCTTAATGACCTTTTGCTTTCTTCCTGTATGTTCTTGATGTCATCCCACAACTCTTCTGCTTTTGGTCATTAATGGCTAACAGTTATCAAATCTGTTCTTGGTGGGATACGTCCAAGGTCATATTTTGGCTCTCATGGACTTGTTTTAAATTTTTCAGCTTCAGGCTGAACTTGCATATAAGAAATTGATGTTCTGTTTCTCAGTCCTCCCCTGGCCTTGTTTTGGCTGATAATATGGAGCTTTTCCACAGATTTTAAAATTCTATTTCTGTTTATCCCATCTGGTAAAGTCCATGTACATAATCATCTTTTATGTTGTTTAAACATATTTGTAATGAAGTCATTGGTCTTGCAAAATTCTATCATGCAGTCTACATCATTATTTCTGTCACCAAGTCCATTATTTTAAAATGACTGATCCTCTTTGTTTCCAACCTTTGCATTCTAATCACCTTATTGATTGCATGTTTGGTAATTTCAGACTGAAGAAGTTGGTAGAATTCCTCAATTCCATCATTACTGGCTTTAGTGGGTGGTGTATGAATTTGAATAATAGTTGTATTAATTGGTCTTCCTTGTAGGTGTATGGATAGTATCCTATCACAGACAGCAGTACACTTCAAGATACATCTTGAGATGTTCTTTTTGGTGATGAATGCGATGCCCTTCCTCTTCAATTTGTCATTCCTGGCATAGTAAACCATGTGATTGTCAGAATCAAAATGGCCAGTACTGATCCATTTCATCTCACTAATACCTAGGATATCGATGTTTATGAACTCCACTTCATTTTTGATAACTTGCAGTTTTGCTAGATTCATGCTTCATACGTGCCATGTTCCAGTCATTAATGGATGTTTGCAGTTTCTACTAATTTTGAGTTGTGCTCCATCAGCAAATGAAGGTCCTGAGAGCTTTACTCCATTGGTGTCATCATGGTTAACTCTACTTTGTGAAGGCAGCTCTTCCCTAGTCATATTTTGAGTGCCTTCCAACCTGAGGGGATCCTCTTTTGGACTATAGATTTCAATATTCTGTTGCTGTTTGTCAAGTTCCAGTATTCAGTATTGTGATTCTATCTGACTGGTTCACTGCTGTTTCATAAGGTTCACTGCTGTTTCATAAGGTTTCATTTGGAAGTAGTCTGCCTGTCTTTTTTTCTGAGTCTGGAAGCTTAGCTGAAACCTGTCTACCATAGCTGACCATGCCTACATTCAATATACCAGTGAACATAGCTTCCAGCAGCACAGCAACATGCAAGCCAGCACAGTGAGACAAACTGACACATATGTGGTAGCCACCCAGAGCTCTGAAAATCTATGGCTGAAAAATCATTCGCTGAAAATCCAATGGCAGAAGACTAGGCAGACGTACTATGTAAATCTGCTGCAAAGATATGAGAGACCAATGAAACAGACACATGAAAATCCTGGAATCCTGAACTTCAGAGGAAAGGTTAGAGATGTTGATTTAGTACTTGCTGGGAGGAAACACTGAGCAGGGACTGTGAGAGGGAGACTGGTAAATGGCTGGACAGATGCAGTACACCATCTTAAACATTTGTGAGTAGCTTTTTTTTTTTTTTAATGAGATGTACATTTATTGAACAAGACATGGTTTTTACTCTCAAGTAACTTAGTATTCAGCAGAATGCATAAGACATGTCTTAATATTATAACACACAGCATGCATCAAATGAAGGACAAAACTCTGAACACAGGGGTAAGAGTGGAGGATTTGCTTCTATGTTAATTTTTTTTTCAATAAATATTTAATGAGTGCTTTCTCTGGTGTTACAAAGATGAGCAAGGCTCTATATATATGTTTTTAAAACTTTTATTGTGAATTATGTGATAGTTTACATGGGAGAACATTAGCTTTACATTCATCCTATTGTATATTGTTACATTGCAATGGTTATAATCCCCTCCAAGCATCATAAACCAACCAAAGGGTATACCCTGCAAGCTTGCCCCCTGGTCGTCAGCACACAGCCCCTCTCCC